TTACATATTACATATTACATATTACATATTACATATTACATATTACATATTACATATTACATATTACATATTACATATTACATATTACATATTACACATTACACATTACACATTACACATTACACATTACACATTACACATTACACATTACACATTACAAATTACAAATTACAAATTACAAATTACAAATTACAATTACAAATGCCAAATAAAATTTTGCGTTTTATATTCCAGACCAAGGCTCCAAGCTGACCATCAACACGGCGTTCGGGAGCCAAATCATCGAGAATGTGGAGGAGTCGCGACGTGGATTGCGTCCTCGGCGAGTCCTCTCGAGCATTGCGTCGAGTTCCGATGAGCAGAAGAAGACGAGCCAAAATATGCTCAATAAGATACGTGAGTCGAAGAGTTTGGATCCGTTGCCGTTGATTAGGACGACGAAGCCGGGGGACGTGGGGGGTGATGGGGGCAACAATAAGCCGTTGGATGTGGGGAGGAGGTCCACCAGGTCGTTGGAAAACTGTGATAAGTGCGGCGAAGTACAAATCATCGCCATTCCTGAGGATAAACTCATCAATAATAATTTTCCAAATGGGAATATTCTACCAACTGATGAAAGTTATATCGAGGATGTTCAAGTACCGTTGCTTAATACGCAGTGTCCGGTGGTGAGGAGGAGGGGAGGGAGTGCCATTGATGATACTTTGCAAAATCACACCTCCAAAAGGTAAGAAACATCAAGAATTTTTTTTAATATTACGTTCTTACGTTTGTTTTTAAGTTTGCAGTTACGTCTACGTTCTTATATTCGTACATTTTTACGTTTACGGTTTTTCTTAAGTTTTTAGGTTTTCTTACTCTTAAAGTCTTTATTTTTTCGATTAATGTCTTGCACAAAAATTTACGTTTACGTCTACATCTTACGTTTGAGAAATACTGAATTCTGTCAGTTTTTACGTTTACGTTGCTTTAATATCCGAGATTTTTTTGTTTACTTTATTTTTTTTACTTTTTTAAGTTTACGTTCTTCCTTTTTATTATTATGTTTACGCTTACGTTAAGTTTTTACTTTACGCCAGTATTTTAATTGTCAAATGTAAAGTTATTACGTAATTTTCATGTTTTACGTTTATGTTTTGTTCTGAAATGTTTTACTCGACTATATTCTTACTGTTACGTTTATGTTTATGTTTTTAAATCACTCTACCTATTTTTGCTTTTACTTTTTTAAGTTGAGTGAAATTTTTACTTCAAAATTTGATATTCTTACGTTTTTGCGTCTACCTTTTTTTTCAACTTCTTACTTTGTTTTTACAATTAAATTGGTACACAAAAATTACGTTCACGTCTACATTTAACGTTTGAGAAATATTGAATTTTCTAAGTTTTTACGTTTACGTTGATTAATAATATCCGAGATTTTAAGCGTTTTCAAGTTCGTATTTTTTCTTATTTTTTGTTTTCCTTATTTTTTGTTACTTTTTTAAGTTTACGTTCTGCGTTTTTTATTCTTATTTTTACGCTTACGTTAAGTTTTTCCTTTACGTACTTTACGCCAATATTTTTATTGTCAAATGTAGTTATTACGTAATTTTCGTAAATTTACTTCTTAAGTTTGCGTTTTATGTTTAAAAGTTTTACGTTTATGTTTTATTTTATTCTGAGTATGTTCTTACTGTTACGTTTATGTTTTTAAATGGCTCTATTTTTGCGTTTACTTTTTTGAGTTCAGTGAAATTTTTACTTCAAAATCTTCAATTTTTGCATATTTACGTTAAATTTTTCATCTTTTACTTTTGCACTTCCATTGAATTCATTTTTTTACGTTCTTACGTTTACGGTAAAGAATTTTTTTCGTTATGTTTAACATCTAGTCTTACTTTTACGTTCTTGTGTTCTTACGTTTCTGCGTCTGTTTTTTTTTTAATTTTTGTGTTCTTTTATGAATTTTTTACACAGCGAAACATTACGTTTACGTTTACATCTTACATTTGAGAAATACTGAATTTTCTAGGTTTTACGTTTGCATTGCTTTAGTATCCGAGATTTCAGATGTTCTTAAACTCTTTTTTTTTCTTGTTTGCTTCAATTTTTTTACATTTTTAAGTTTACGTTCTACGTTTCTCATTTTTACGCTTACGTCAACTTTTTTATAATAATTTTAATATTTTTTACGTTTCTCGCTCATGTTTTTATGTTCACGTCAAAGAATCTATTTCTTTTTCATTATGTTTAGCTTTTAGTTTCATTTCTTTATGCTTTTACGTTTGCGTTCTTGTGTTTTTACGTTTCTACGTCTATATTTTTTTTATTTTTGTTATTAAATTTTGTTTTCTATTTTTTTTTGTTTCAATTTCTTCTTACTTTTTTAAGTTTACGTTCTGGGTTTTTTCTTCTTATTTTTACGCTTACGTCAACTTGTCACTTTATGTCTTAACGCCAATATTTTTATTTTAAGATGTTTGTGTTTATATTTGACATTTTTACCTTTGCATTGCCTTACGTTTACTTTTTTTTAATAATGTTAATATTTTCTACGTTTCTCCCTCATATTTTTATGTTTACGTCAAAGAATTTGTTTTTTCGTTATGTTTAACTTTTAGTATCATTTCTTTAGGTTTTTACCTCTACGTTCTTGTGTTTTTACATTTCTACATCTGTTTTTTTTTTAATTTTTATTATTAATTTTTTTAGTTTTATGGTTTTTAGGTTTTTTATTTCTGTTTTTCTTTGTTTCAATTTTTTATACTTTCTTAAGTTTACGTTCTTGTGTTTGTATTTCACGTTCTCCATTCTTATTTTTATGTTTACGTTAACTTTTTGCTTTACGCTTTCAGATATTTACATTTATATTTAACAATTTTTACATTATGTCTAACGTTTTTTTTTATTTTTACATTTCCTACGTTTGTTTTTAATTTTGTATTTACGTCTACGTTCATTCATACATTTTTACGTCTACGTTTTTTCTCAAGTTTTTACGTTTTCTTACTCTTAAAGACTTTATTTTTTTGATTACGATCTTGCACAAAAATTTACGTTTACGTCTACATCTTACGTTTGAGAAACACTGAATTTTGTAAGTTTTTACGTTTACGTTGCCTTGATATCCGCGATTTTTTGTTTACTTTAATTTTTTTTAATTTTTTAAGTTGACGTTCTGCGTTTTTATTCTTATGTTTACGCTTACGTTAAATTTTTACACGACTGTATTCTTACTGTTACTATTTATGTTATTAAATCGCTCTTGCGTTTACTTTTTTAAGTTTTTTAATTTTCTACTTTTACTTTTAAAGTTTTTTAAACTTTTTATTTCTGGTTTTTTGTTTCAATTTTTTCTTACTTTCTTCACTTTACGTTCTTGTGTTTGTGTTCTACATTCTCCATTCTTATTTTTACGTTTACGCTAACTTCTTGCTTTACGCTTTCAGATATTTACATTTATATTTGACAATTTTTACATCATGTCTTACGTTTACGTTTTTACGGTTACATATTTACAATTTTAAACTTTTATAAGTTCACTCTTCGTTCAAAATCTTTATGTTTCTTACTTTGACGTTTATGTTATGTTACGTTATTCTTATATTTACGTTCTAAGTCGCTGTTTTTAAATTTCTTTGAGTTAGGAGTGAAAATTTGGCTTCAAAATCTTTATTTTGGTATTTATACGTTTTCTTACGTTTACTTTTTTGTTTCTACACTTATTTTTACGTTACATTAAAAAAATTTCATTTCTTTATGCTTTTACGTCAACGTTCTCATGTTTTTACGTTATACATTTCTTACGTTTCTGTTTGTTAAGTTTTAAATTTTTGTAAAATGTTAAGGCTGGCGTTTTCTCATATTTTTTTTTGAATTTTGCTCCACAGATGGCGCTCTTTGGAGTCGCTCCCGGCGAGTTGCGAGCCCGTTCCTGACATCCAGAGCAAAAAAAAGGCCTCGTTGAAGAACTGGTTGGTGGGACTTTTCAACGGAAACGGCCTAAAATCGAGCAATACTTCGCTCAGAAAAGGAGTCATCAACGATTACAATAACTTAACAGAGAAGGAAAGCATCGTGTGAGAGAGAAACTAAAGTCAATTGTTGAAGAAAAGGGAAACTAGTCGAATTATTATTGAGGATAATAATTAATAATAATAATAATAAGAAGAAGAAGAAAAAATCGGTTATATATTTTTTGAAGGAAGAGACGACTTATCGGTATATTTTCTATGCCTTTTTGTGACTACTATATTAGATATATTGTTGCATTTATGTAAGAAAGTCGCAATTATGAAAAATCCGTTTTTGCCATAATTTAGTTTATTTTTGGGATTTGGATAATTGCAACTTTCGCCCCCTCCCCCTCAAGTATGCTTCTTCAAATTAATTCTCCTACTTGTTCATCGTTTAAACTAGAATAAAATTTATGTGATAGCGTGAACGAAGCTATGTTAGGTTTTAAATCCAATTTTTAAGTATGTGAGATCTAGTTTTAAGAAGTGTTTTATATGTAACCATCTGTTACCCAATTGTGATTATATTTTTCTAGCAAGTGCTGCAAAAACAAAAACAAACGGATAATACGACAGCATTTAAATATGATGAACCAATTTCAACGATCTGACTGGTGAATAATTCATTTTTCGGTGGTACAAAAGTCGGAATTTTTGTGTTAGAGGCTGTGAATATTATCTTCATGTGTAAATAAATTATGTCATATCTTTGCACTATTCGATGTGCCATTAACTTATAATTGTATCGAGGTACCTAATTATGTAAATAGTCTAGGTATTGTTTGATAATATACTTATTTATTTATTAACACTCTTATTTATTTTGCCTCCTAGCACTTTTCAAGGTTAGTTTCACTTTTATTCAATCCTTTCTTGCAAACTCTTTTTTTTTCTTGAAATTGTATTACTTATATTTTTGCTTTCTAAATGTAAAAGTATGTTTTTATCTTCAATTTTCTATTTTCTTACGTTTTAAAACATTTTTTTTTTCAAAATTGTATTTCTTGTGTTTTTGCTTTCTTAGGTTTATTTACTGTTACGTTTATGTTTACGTTCTTACGTAAACTACTTTCGTAGGCCCCCAAGTTGTCTTGAATTTTTATGTTTTTGTTAAGAGTGAAATTTTTACTACTTCAAATTCTTTAATTTTTGCATATTTACGTTGAAGTTCTCATGTTTTACTTTTGCAAGTTTTTTACGTTTATGTCAAAGGATTGTTTCGACGTCTACGTTGTTTTTTTCTTTTTTTGTTTTTCATTTAAATTTTTACACAAGAAAAACATTGCATTTACGTTTACCTCTTAAGTTTCCAAAACACTTAATGTTGTAAATTCCTTAATTTTTCCATATTTACTTTTAAGTTCTCATGTTTTACTTTTGCAAGTTTTTTACATTTGTCTTACGATTTTTTCGACGTCTACGTTGTGTTTTTTCTTTTTTTGTTTTCATTTAAATTTTTACACAGAAAAACATTGCATTTACGTTTACCTCTTAAGTTGTAAGTTTTTACGTTTACGTTTTTATGTTTATATTTGATTTTTTTCTTTTGAAGAAACTTAAAAACTCGAAAAAAACAAAAATAATACATTTACTTATTTTGTTTCCTGTGTTTTTGCTTTGTTATGTTTATTTTCTTATTTTTACGTTTAAAATTAAGTTTACGACTGTTACATATTTACAATTTTACTTTCTTACGCCCCCAAGTTACGGAATTTTTTCTTAAATTTACTTCTTACGTTTGCGTTTTATGTTTAAAAGTTTTCATGTTTTACTCTACTGTATTCTTTCTGTTACGTTTGTGTTTACATTTTTACATACCTCTATCCTTACGTTTACATACTTAACTTGTTGTTTTGAATATTTATGTTTTTGCGTTTACTTCTTTTAAGTGTGAAATTTTTACTAATTCCTTATTTTTGCATATTTACCTTTAAGTTCTCATGTTTTACTTTTACATTTTCATTTAATTCATGTTTTTTTTACGTTCTTACGTTTACGTCAAAGAATTTATCCGTTCCGTTTTACGTTCTTGTGTTCTTATACGTTTTTTTCTATTTTTGTTTTTACATTTTTGTTTTTTATTTAATTTTTACACAGAAAAACATCGCATTTACGTTTCCCTCTTAGGTTTTCAAAACACTTAATTCTGTAAGTTTTTACGTTTACGGTTTAACGCTTGCTTTACTGTTTTTTATTTCATGTGTTTTTATGTTTATATTTAGTTTTTTCTTTTAGAAGAACCTTTTTTTTCAAAAACGTGCTTAAAGAAAAAGGCAAATATAATACATTTATTTTATTTTATTCCTTGTGTTTTATGCTGTCTTACGTTTACTTTCTTATTTTTAAGTTTATGTATATATCCTCTCATACTCATTTTTTCATTATATACTAGAATTCTGTCCGATTCGAAAATATTGTGTAGAAAGTAAAAAATT